AGGCACAGAGCCATCTGGAAGACAGGCATGAGGCCAACTGGAAGGCATTAAGTCATGAGTGTCATCAACCATAACAATCATGTCACTATCAAAGCATGCCTGCTCATGTTAGAAGTGGCTGTAATAGCTGAGGGACAGTTCCAGCTAAACAAAACATAATGAAATCAATTAGGGGTTTTATGTCTAAATGGCCATTTTGTAAAGAACTAAACTCAACAGTCAATATTAAATGAAAATAGAAGCTGAGGAAGATATAGCTGCAAGCTGCAGTCTGTAACTTTTGTAAAAAACATGTTTTTTTCACATATTTGTCAAAACCAAATTATATTGCATTATAATATGAGGTAAAATGTGAAATGATCGATCTCTTCCGCCTCCTCCCACTATTGCCATCTGAAGAAATGTACCACTTTTGACCAAAAACAACCAATCAGAGCCAGGAGAAAGTTCTTGACGCTGTCACTCATCCTCATGTACTCATTGCTAATTGCTCTGTTGTTGGAGAGACAACTTAACATTACAGCAAAACCATTTATTAGTGGTGGCTATGCTAACTAGCCTGAGCATTCACAACAGGATCTGTTGACAGGGAAAAACTGTAGTGATAGCAGAGAGGGCACGGGAGAAGGAGCAGCTAAGACCTGCCAAATGTCTCTGATTGGTTCTTTCTAGTTAGCCCTGGGAGCATTTGGATAAAGCAGAGGAGCTTGATATTTGTCTCAGATTATCTGTTTCATACCATATTGTCAAGACATAATAACAGATTCAACAAGTATGTAAAAAAACAAAGTTAAAGAATTACAACATTTCACTTGGATGCGAGCGCCGCATTTAACTTTAAGAGGCGAAAGCTGCTGAACTTTCACCTCACAGACGACTCCACGGTTTTAGAACTTCAGACCCTAATCATGGTCATTTGCAAACTTTTGAAGTAAAGTTGTCACCACTGACAGCAGGATGAGCATGAGCTACACCATCTCAGCTACAAACACATTTTCAAATGCAAAAATGTTTTTAAAATTAAAAGCAGAACCTCTGACGTCCAAACCTGGAAGAACTCAGAAGAACACTCAAGAGAAACATCTCTTGCAGATTCTCCCTAAAGCTGAACAAGCAAAGCAACAAGTATATTTTGACTAAGTCTAATTCAGTACAAAAGAAACAGCAGCGCTGAAGACGTTTTGTTTACATAAGGCCTTTTTATTACAAAATAAGTTTTGAAAAATATTGCTCATACTTTTTTTGGGAGGTATAGATATAAGCAACGCTGCACTCTATCAACTGTGATGATTTCTAAAATGGTGTCACAAGTGTTACAGTGTCGATAATAATGTTAGTCTAAACAACAGGGACCGTTTTTCCACAGTGTCTTTGCTGTTTGTCATTTTGCCTGTCTGTTCCTCATTCACTCATGAACACACACACACCCACACACACACAGCCCTCACCATTCACGCAACATTGACTAGAGGTCTCCCCCCACAAATGTAAAAGCTTACACATCAATACACGAGCAATTAGTGCATCAATACCAGCACTTCCAATTTCAATGTATTCAAAAGAAAATGGGATTTCTCATTGGATTTCTCTGTATTTGGGCTTTGGAGTCTAAAAAAACATTTTATTCTTCTCTAGCTTGTCATTTCATGTAAATGGAGAGATGAGTTTTACTTAGTCTGCTTCAAATGGTTGTATTCACATATTTACAGGTACATCCCAGATAAGAATAATGATAATCAGTTTTATAATTTTCTCAGTATGTGAAACCTATACATTACAGAGATTCATTACATGTGTGATGAGAAAGAAATACTTTGAGTCTTTATTTGGTGTGCTTTTGATGATTTTGGCATACAGACAATAAAAAAACAAATTCAGTACCACAGAAGACTGGAATGTTCCATAAGATCAATAAAAATAGCACATGATATTTTAAACAGAAATGTCAAGGTTTTAAAAAGAATTGTTTTTAAGCACTCAATACTTGGTTGAGCTTCCATGTACATAAATTACTGCATCAATGCAGCATGGAGAGGATCAGTCCATGGTAGTGCTGAGGGGTAATGCAAGTCGACGTTGCTCTGGTAACTTAGATGCAGCACTCTGTGAATAACTAGCTTCTTTAACATTGACTTGTTGTGGCTTACTCTGTGTCAAGGATTGTCTTCTGGATATCTATCATGTCAGCAGTCCTACCCTTAATTTCATAGCCTATTGACCCAGACTGAGAGATCATTTAAAGACTTCAGAAACCTTTGCAGGTGTTTTGAGTTAATTAGGTAATGTAAATGTAGTCCTGTGAGTTTCCAGTGTTTAATCTTTTCACAATGTTTTAATATTTTATGGGGTACCTTGATAAGGGCTGTTAGATTCCAGAGCTTAGTTTGCATTGCCAGCAGTACGTTGGGCTCATTGCCATTGAAAGTCCACCAAGGCTCCTCTTTGTCACTAATTCTATTTATAACCTTTATGGACAGAATTTCTTGACACAGCCAAGGTGTTGAGGGCATTTATTTCTGGTTTTTCAGATGATTTGGTCCTACTGGCTTCATCAGATAATGATTTCCAGCTTTTGCTATCACAATTCACAGCCATTTGTGAAGTGACCAGGATGCAAATCAGTGTATTCAAATCCGAGGGCATAGTCATGAGCCAGAAAAGGGTAGAGAAGTATTTTTTGCGCCAGAGAAGAAGTCCTGCCTCACGAGGAGGAATTTAAGTAATTCAGGGACTTTTAGGGTGTCTGATCTCTCCCTTATGCGAAGCTTGGCCATACGGGAGGGTCTCAGAGCAAAGCCACTGCTTTTCCACATTGAGAGGTGCCAGTTGAGGTGGTTCAGACATCTAGTTAGAATGCCCCCTGAAAGCCTCCTGGGGGCATTCGCCTCAGGAGACGAGCCAGAGGAAGACCTAGGACAGGGGTGGGCACTCCTCGACCTCGAGGGCTGGTCTCCTGCAACTTTTAGATGTGTCTCTACTTCAACACACCTGAGTCAAATAATGAGGTCATTATCAGGACTCTAGAGAACCCATTTAGGAAGTGATGAAGCTATTGGATTCGGGTGTGTTGGACCAGGGAGACATCCAAGAGTTGCAGGACACCAGCCCTTGAGGACCAGGAGTGCCCACCCCTGACCTAGGACATGCTGTAGGAACTATAGCTGCTTCTCCATTGTCAAGTCTCCTACAACCAGTTAATGTCTGATTTGGTTCTACCCCAATTTGGAATGTCTCCATTACAGTTGGCTCCTCACTATTATGAACATAGGCCTGAAAGTGTGCAGACTGTGTGCATGGCAGAGATGTGGTTGACTCTCCAATGATGTTAGCAGCAACACTCATCAAAGGAAAACCTCAACATCATGATTTTGATGGATTCATTTTGCCTCATAGAAATTTATTGCATCAAAGATAATGAAGTACAGTCAAAAATTGGAAAACAACATCCACGCATTAACTTTATATAAAAGAAAATGGCAAAAAATAAAAAAATAATAAAAAGCACACCATACCACACTAAAATCATGTACTTCTGGAGTTTCATACTGGCCGACACAAAACTATAGCTCCGACATTGACCATAGCTACACACTTTCTGCTTCTTTATTGTGTGCCTTTTCTACAGACAATTGCTACTTGCAGGATTGCTAAATCATGGTCATTCATATCCAAAAGTGTTAACATTTTCTGCACAGATGTTCTTGGTAACAAAAGTGCTCATTAAATCCGCTCTGTGTGTCACAAATAAGACATCCCAAATCTACTTGGCAAATTGTTGTAAAAAAGTATTTATTTCTTATCGAGAAGTTATCCAATCTGTTTACAAGACATCTTTGCACTGAGAGGCTCTTTTTGCTTTCGAAAACATTGCTTGAAAATCACTTATTTGCTTAGAAAACAATCAAAAGGGTATTTGTAATGTAGTCATGTTTTACCCTCTTAAACTTTGGATTTTCTTGCTAAAATATGATGTCCTAGAGCCTTTAATGGGCTATGCAGTCTTCAGTTTTCCTTTATTTTATCAGCTCAAGTAAAAACAAGGAAATTCAATTATTTTGTTAAGATACAGGCGGAGCAACAGTATTGGCTATGGATTGGTCTAGCCTGACTAATCCCTCAGCTGTAAGAGCAAGTATTGATCTGTATATTCAAACAGTGCATCACTAACATGAACCCATTGTATTACTCACAGCAGGCACTGAAGGCATCCACATGAACAACACGTGATGATTGTTGGTGTTACACTCCCCTGATGCACTGCACATGCAAAGTGGTTAAAAAACGTTTCCACCATTAAGTTTTCTAAAGCACCAGACCATGATGCTTAACCTCAATGATTTGCTCCTGTTTCAATTACCCATAACACACAAAGTCAAATACACACATAGCTCACACAGCTCCCCCACTCAATGTCTAATGGTATAATACAGAAATAATGAGTCTCTCTGGTTGTGAGATTCCGTATTATATTTTTATTTGATTATTCAGCTGAAACAATCCACATTGGCTTTCCAGTTTGTTTTATGTGTGTGCTTGCAAGATTTAATTTCATGTTCTGACATTAATTTCTGCATGGAATTCATAAAGTCAAGATATTTATTGAAGCTCTTGAAGCTTTGAGAAAAAACAAAGCCATTGTGGGACATGGTTATTATTGCATTTTCAGAAAAAAAAGTAACTTTCTTTTTTTTTTTTCCATTGCCTCTATGTCTGCTTAGGTTTCTACACAGTATTAACAAAAAATACATAACTTTACAAGTGTACAGCAACCAGATCACAATGTAATGATTTTCTCCCTTTCCCTGCTGACTAAATATTAAATTCTGGAGTGCAAGAGTTGCTGATGTGTGCCCTGTGATTTCACTTTAAGATAAAATATGTAATTATTTCCTGTGAAACTTGCTCCATTTGGGAACTGGCTAGAGGAGAATGCTGAAGTGGGCTTTCTAAGAGAAATCCTCATCATCATGACCCAAATTCTCTTCTCTTCCTTTTTACAGGCAGATCTTCCGATGACCTAATGGAACTGAATTTACGAGTAGTATTGTTTTGGGTCGTGGTGCTGCACGGTGGCTCCGTCGATGGCAGTATCCTCTACAGAGTCCAGGAGGAGCAGCCACCCAACACTCTCATAGGCAGTCTGGCAGCGGACCAGGGGCTGCCAGATTCAGGTCACCTCTACAAGCTTGAGGTGGGTGCCCCTTATCTCCGAGTTGATGGGAAGACAGGAGACATTTTCACTACTGAGATTCCAATAGACAGAGAGACCCTCCGGGACTGCCGGTCCCTGGCCAAGGGCAAGCCGTGCTACTTGGAATTTGAAGTATCGGTAACAGACCTGATACAAAACCAGAGCCCACGACTTATTGAAGGACGTATTGAAGTACAGGACATCAATGACAACACCCCGCAATTTCCCTCTTCTGTGCTCACCATCTCAGTACCTGAGAACACAATCATGGGGGCATTATTCTCCATACCTCTAGCCACTGACAGGGACTCTGAGAGGAATGGAGTGGCTGACTATGCGCTGACTGCGGGCCCCGATGCAGCAACGCTATTTGGTTTACAAGTGGCGGAGGACAGGGGAGGGAAACTCCCACAGCTCATCGTCCTCGGCAATTTGGACCGCGAGTTAAAGGATTCTTACGACCTCACCATAAAGGCGGTGGATGGAGGGAACCCTCAGCGCTACAGCAGTGCTCTGCTCAGAGTGGTTGTTACCGATGCCAACGATAACGCCCCTAAGTTTGAAAAGACTTCATACGACGCAGAAGTTTTAGAAAACAGTCCAGTCGGGCACTCCGTGTTACAGGTGAGATTGCCTTAGAATATTTTTATTTGTGTAATGTTATGATTTTAAATAAGAAAATATAAATATCTAAAAATGCATTTAACTTAGTTTACTTTCAGATTCTGTCTCAATATAATTTTCATTCTCCATTCCAAAAAAGGGACATTGCATAATATGTGAATACAAATAGAATGCAGTGATTTTCTTATCTCATAGACCCACATTTTAACCACAATGGAAAATGTTAAGTGTTTAAACTTGCAAATTTTGCTATTTCAAAAGAAAGGGGAGACAACATAAGGCTGTAAAAGCAAGTGGTATGTAGCAACGGGTCAATATAAGCTTTTTATAAAACTTAATGTTTCATACAAACATTTTGAGCAAAAGTAAATGCTGTGATTAAGTTGTTTTTATTTAAAGTATAAGTTGATAGAAAATATTTTGTTTCTTAAAGTTATAATAAAGCAATCCATACATTTTGCTTTATATTAATTTTAATGCTAATGTGTAGACTGAACCAAGATACCAAATGAACACAAAATAAATTTAGCTATTGTTGTTTTCATAGGTGTATGGGTAAAGATATTATATGTACATTTTGCCATTATTATGTTGGTAGAGTAACATTTGGGAATTAGGCCAAATCAGCTTTAAAACTAGCAAAGAAAGATTTGCTAGTTCTAACCACCAGCTCTTACAGGTTTTTTTTTTTTTTTAAATCATGGTTTAATAACTATTTACTAAATTATAAATCAATAACATTTTGAAGAAAAGATTCTCTACATCTTGCTTGTTCCTTTATGTGCCGCTAAAAAATACTATTGTGAGTATTGTTAGCATGCTACGGCCAATCACAGAGTGAAAAGAAGAGTGTTGTGACATAGTTGAACTAATGGTAAATTTAGCTTTGGCAGTGTTTTAACATTAGTAACAGCAGGGCTTTAACATTAGCTGCTAAAATAAAAGAAACAGACTTTGCAGTCATGTATTTTTCTTCTTATAAAAGAAAAGGAAGTCAAAACAAAGAACAATTAGAATAATCTCACTAATAAGCTCACAGAGGAGCAAAGTTACTCTTCCCCAGTCTTCAGCTTGTGCTGATAGTATCTGGTAATTGGGTCAGCTTTTGGAACAATTTATATTTTGAACAATATATGTAAACATTTCATATTACGATAAAATAATGAAAACAAAATAAAATAAACAACATTTAAATTATTTAAAATAGAGCTGTACTTGGTGTAAGCAGCGACCTGATTACACCAACCGACTCATCTTGGAGAATATATTCTCAGATTTTTTTCTGTAGCTAGTTTCAGGTGGCTAGTCTAATTTTTGGGCACTGCACAATCACCAGTTACTCTGACAGCAGGCTTTACTTTGGTTTGAGTTCAATGTTTCTTAAAAGACATGGTCATTTACACAGCCAGCAATACCAAGGTAGGAACATAGGAAGGATCCTGCCATGCATTGGTTGCTAAGGGAAAAGAAAGCAAAATGCTGCTAAATGACAAATTTTGTTGTGACAGAACATTGCAGGGATTCTAGCTATGACACTCTTCTTTTGTTCCCAATTCTTTCACGAGGAAAGAATAGGAAAAAGTCATTCACCTTTAAAAGTTCGACCAACTAGTTTTAATAAATGGGAGATGTTGAAATGAAGAGGTGATGGTTTACAGTCTAAATATTGACATGTGTCAAGGACTTCAAATTAAAAAAAATACTTTTTCCCCCTCAAATAACGTATATCTTAGTTTAAATATTTGACCATTTTACTATCTCCATTGTATGATTTCTGAGGGTTTTTTTTTTTTGCACGTCCTTGCATTTCTTTAACTTTTTTTAAATTTTGAATGCAGTCTGAATTAATTGTAACTCTTTTTCTGATAGTCTTTTATATAAGCCTTAATACCATCATTTAACTCTTTCATTTGTTCCACCATACAGTATGCATGTCATCCAGGCTTTTACTTTCGCACAGTATGGTTTTATAGGTAATTCAGCTGCTCATTGTTTGTTGTGGTGCTGTTTTCTTATGAAAAATATCCTGAAATAACAGCAACACAGTGTCTTGATGTAGGCGTTAGATGTTCTGTGCAGCTTTCTCTGAACATATTGCTGTGAAATCTTTACTGACTGTCATAAAGGAAATAGTTTTAATATACCATATGTTTTCCTATCAATCTGGAAAAAGCAATAAAGGCACAAAATAGATGCAGTGACACAACAACCAAGATCAAAGTAGAAAGGCCATAAAGAAATGTATGTGGTGTGTTTTATACTTTTCACGCTCACTTTGATCTATTCATTCAGTTTTGTAATCATCCATTTTTAGTGAAATAAAAAAAATCATCACATGTTTCCTTTCTGATTTGACCCTGATTTGATGCATGCCGTCCAGGTTTTTGAGCATGTCTTCTGTTTTGATTACAGGTCAAAGCAAATGACTCTGACATGGGCCCTAATGGAGAAATTGAATACACCATTCACCAAGCAGTTGACCCAGTACCAAGACTCCTACGAATTGATCGGTCTACTGGCATTATCTATGTGAAGGGACCACTGGACAGGGAGGAAATCAGCAGCTTGTCTTTCTATGTGGTGGCAAGGGATAAGGGTCCTCAACCTAAGAGCTCTAAGACGTTTGTAACGATTGAAGTGACTGATCAAAATGACAATGCTCCTGCTGTGGAGATTCGTGGAATTGGTCTGGTGACTCACAGTGACGGAGTGGCCAATATTTCAGAGGACATGCCAGTGGGGACAGCTGTTGCTTTGGTGCAAGTGTCTGACAAAGATGAAGGCGAGAACGCTGTCGTCACATGCGTGGTTGCGGGAGATGTGCCCTTTCAGCTTCGTCCTGCTAGCGACTCTCCCACTGACAACAAAAGAAAATACTTTCTTCAGACAACCACACCTCTTGACTTTGAAAGAGTCAGGGACTACAGAGTAGAAATTGTCGCAGTGGACTCTGGAAACCCAGCACTGTCCAGTACAAACTCCCTAAAAGTTCAGGTAACTGATGTGAACGACAACTCTCCAATATTTTCCCCAACACTGTTTGAAGTTGACTTTGCTGAAGAAAACCAACCCGAGGAGAGGATTTTGGATGTCACTGCTACAGATGCTGATAGTGGCACTAATGCCCAACTGCTGTACGATATTGTTGCAGATTCAACCATCAAAGGTTTGTTTGAGATTGACCCAAACTCAGGTGAAGTAAGAGCTCGAAGCCCACTGGATCGTGAACATAAAGAGCGGTATGAGTTTCGGGTCACAGCTGCAGACAAAGGTTCACCTGTCCATAAAGGAACAGCAACAGTTGTGGTGAAAGTTCTTGACCGCAATGACAATGAACCAAAGTTCATGCTTAGTGGGTACAGCTTTTCAGTACTGGAAAACATGCCTCCCTTAAGTCCTGTGGGTATGGTGACAGTTCAAGATATGGACAAAGGTGAGAATGCCCGAGTTCACCTCTCCGTAGAACCTGATGGAGGGAAGTTTGTAGTTCAGAATGGAACAGGTACAATTCTCTCAAGCATCTCTTTTGACAGAGAAAAAGAAAGCAGCTATACTTTCCGACTAAAGGCAGTGGATGGGGGAGAACCACCCAAGTCCTCCTATGTTGGTGTCACTATCAATGTACTCGACGAAAATGACAATGAGCCTGTCATCACCAAACCCTCCAATTCTTCCTTCAGGCGCTTATCACCTCTCGCATCTCCAGACAGCCATGTTGAGGTGGTGGAGGCTGAAGACCTGGACAGTGGACCCAATGCAGAGTTAGTCTTCAATATTGCTGGAGGAAATCCTTACCAATTATTTCGCATCTCCCCCACTACTGGAGAGATCACTCTAGCAAAGGAGATGACCCGCAAACATGGGGGGCTGCATCGTTTAGTAGTACGGGTGAGTGACAGGGGAAAGCCTCCACGTCATGCAACTGCCCTGGTTCACATCTATGTCAATGAAACGATTTCAAATGTCAGCTTCGTGGAAGCCTTAGTTGGACACAGTCTTTACACTCCACTAGACAGGGACATTGCCGGTGATCCTGACAGTGGTTTCGCTGCCCATCGCAGTAACATTTTGTTTGGAAGCCTGGCCGGTGTGGCGGGAGTTGTGATGTTGATCTTGGTGGTGGTGTTTATTCGCCACCGCATCCAGAGAGAAACAAAGAGTGGCTATCAAGCGGGTAAAAAAGAAACAAAAGACCTATATGCTCCCAAGCAAGCACCCAAAAACACCAAAGGCAAACGAGGGCGAAAAGGCAAGCCGCAGAAGTCCCCAAAGCCACTTGGGGAAGATGAGGAGGTCAGCCTACAAAAGAGTCTAAAGTTTAATCTTGATGGAGTAAACGACAGTCCCCGCATACACCTGCCCTTAACATATTCCCCGGGAAGCCCCGACATCGGTAGGCATTACCGATCCAACTCTCCCTTACCTTCTATCCAACTGCAAGCCCAATCTCCCTCAGCTTCTCAGAAGCACCAGGCCGTGCAGGACCTCCCTGCAGCCAACACCTTCGTTGGAACGGGAGGAGATGACAACTCCACCGGCTCAGACCAGTACTCAGATTACAGCTACAAGACCAGCCAACCCAAGTACAACAACAAACAGGTAAGGTCAGCTGGAACACAGTGGGCCATTGGAGGAGTGAATGATTTGCACCTGGTTGTAAGCTCCTGTCAATTATTTTGATTTACTTAAAGGAAAGTAGTATATTAACAGATGTTAATGGCACATATTTTATTACTGGGCTATAAATAGTAAAAGAAAAAAATAATTTTTTTGATTTGTTCTTGTCATTTTCTTCAGTTTTTCTCAATATTAATCAGTTGAGGTCTCAGTGGTGTAATTTGATAAGAGAGCTCATGTACAACACAAGTGGAATAGATACATGAAATGTGTTCTAACTTACTCATAAATGCAATGAGGTTTGTTTTAGGAATAATGCTTCAACGCTGATTAGGCATAATGTTATGACCCCATATAGATGAAGTAAACAACATCGATTTTCTCTTAAATATTGTACGAATTAATCAGTGTAACATAAAAGGCAGCAGCTGGTGTCTCGAGGTTGATTTGTTTGAAGCAGCACCATGGACAAATTAAAGAATTTGAGGCATGCTAGTGACTATTGTGGTGAACTGGCGATAGGATAATGAGTGGCTGAGGTCCATTAATGTGAAACGAAACTTGGTTCATTGGTCTGACCAAACAGACATGCTGCTGTTGCTTAGTTTGATTTAGAAGCTAGCACTGGTTTTGTAAGAATATACAGTACATTGCAGCTTTTTTTTGCATCCAAGGTTGCGTATCCATTCAAGGTGCCCATGCTATTCAAAATGTTTCTTTTGATAACAGCTGCAGGGACATCCTGCCTTGCTCCCATGTAACTTTCCCTCGAGGGTTCAAAAGTGGAAATGGAGACTATTTGTCCATTTACTGTACCTCCAGAGGACTGCAGTGGCCTGTCATATTTAGTTTTTCCATCAGACTGGCAACAGAGTTGAGCAGGTGAGGTCCATTTTTTTCTGTTACTTACTTCCGCTCCTGCAACCGACCTCCAGTGCTCTGGATCTCTACAGGTCACTTGCTCTTATCTCCCAGCTCCTTATGCTCTTATCTCCTCTTATCTCGACAACATTTGGCAAGACTCAAATTGCCATGGTAACAGAACATATTAATAGACTCAGAGGGGATTACAAACAGTAAAAAAAAAAAAAAACTTACTGTCTAGGGATGGAAAGCTAGTGTGTCTTTAGGTTTCTGTGTCATTTGCAACTGTGTTAATGTTGTGTGTTGGACTAGACAAGTACATGTGACTTTGCAGAGTGTGATGGGGATTATGCAGGCATCTATTATCCTGAAATGGTATAATGGGGTATACAATCCAGTAAAATGTTCAGATGTCTTGATCCTTTCCATTTAACGCACCGTACTGGAGCTTTTGAAACTCCTGTATTTTTTTTTTTTTTTCAGTTTATAAATCACTGAACTTTGTTGCAGTGTGATAAAAGAAGAAAAAAAATGATAGTTTTTCCTAGATGCCTTGCTTCAAAAGACCGCATAACATAGGGCGACCCTTTTGCATAAACAACCACAGTAGCAAATAGAGTGTAATTAGCAACCTAATATGACTGACATCTCTGAACTACACCCAGCAATATATTTAAGAATCACACAACAACCAGATCTAACAGTGTTGTATTCATGTTGCCACAATGTTTTGTTTTTTTTTTTTTTTCTAAAGAATGGCCATTATTTGAAAATGTTTGACACTGATTTGTTTCCACCCAACACAAGATGACACAAGCTTTCAAGACGCTTCCCACGTCGCAGTGTCACAGGTACAAAACAGTTTGACACTCTCTAAGGCTTTGGAGATAATGTTTGCCACATAAAAAAAGATACAAACAAGAAAAAGAAAATTAGCAAAAATAGAAGGCGAAAACGCGACATTGAGTTCTGAACATGTGCAGGTGACACGTTTTCTGTGGAGACATCTTGAGTGCCAGCCTCACAGTTGACTGGATGATGGTTCCAGCAGATGCTTGCTGACAGTTTAGGTGATCACAAGCCTTTTGGTAGGTGGAGTCAGTTTGGAGAAGAGTCACCACTGTCTGCTTGACGGACAGCATAAGGGACCAAAATGACTGCGAGCCACAGGGTGTGTCTGGGTTTTTTGTGTGTAGTGCCAATCTCAATGGCTTGTGTGTGTCGGCTCGCTGCTTAGTTGGAGCAGCGCTAATTGTGGCTGCGCCGCAGCTGTAAGCTCTCAGCTCTTGACAGTGCTGCGTATGAAGTTTTTCAACTTCATAAATACAAACAAGGATGAGGAATGGTTCAAGTGATTGACAGTCAGTGCAAAAATAAAAAAAAAGAAAAACACAGGCAGATGCTGGAGCTCATGTGACATACCTAAGCAGATGTTGTCTCGTGTATGGCGTACCCTCTCACATCAGGAAGAACAGATTGACCAAAATATATAATTAAAGTCGCTGCCAAGTGATATGACAGATGTAGAGTCGTGCCCTTGCGTTAATTAACTGTGCTGCTCTCAACAATGGCTTTTCATTTGAAATGTGATCAGGCATCTGAGTTTGAGGCACAGTTCATTTCTTGACATTATGTCTAAAAATTACTGCTTGTTTGCTCGCAGATTATGAACACAAAAGGATTTGAATTTAACTTTATTAGCTCTAAATCCATTTGAAGCCAAAAATCCTTTCATTCTTCCTCTAAAGCTCAGAGTACAGTTTCATAGTTGCATTTGTATTTACATATCTGGTTTATAAAAGCTGTGACATGGACATTTGTGTGCAACATTGTGTGTGTTGTCTTTATTAGCATATGATTGAATATTGAGCATTTTTAAAGCAGGTTAAAATGTATCTAGCTTAAGTGAGATGTCAAACAAAATATATTAAAAATGATGCATAGTGTCATAGGTTCTAGTCCACTTTTCAACTGACTTTCTACTATTGACTAATGATCTTGGTGAGCTTATTTTCAACACTCTTGATTTAACAATGAAGAATTTATTCCAGTTTTGGAACCAAGGCAGGGACAGAAAAAGAAAAATTCAAAAAGGGTAAGCATATGGGGATTGTTGCTTAATTTAGTTGATAACGCTGCAAAACTAAAAATTATAGCAGTAAATCTGCCACTTTATAACGCTATCATTTCACATAGAGTGTTCTAAATTAGGTATCTGTTCCCAGTCAGATTTTTTATGTCTTTGCATATCTGTCACACTTAAATGTTTTAGATCAAACAAAATTTTAATATTCTATGATAATTTCCGTAAATACTAAATGTAGCACTTAAATATTCATTCAATCAGTAAAGTTCGGTGTGTACAACAGGCATAAAAAAAACAATGTGTCTTTTACACTGTGGTGGAGAAATGTAGATTGTTAAATTTTAATTCCGGCAGATCAGGGCATGATGTGTCAGAACTGCGCTTACTGCCTGCAGCGGGTTTTGTACTATATGAGCAAAACTGGGGCAAGAAGCAACTCTTCATAATCTGTCAGGTCTGATCATTGAGGTGTTAGCCTTTAGTTTGTTATAGGGATAAAATGACAGGGTGAAGGAGGGGGGATCTGAAAACATGTGCATAAAAGCTAAACATGCACTTACGCTTGGAAAAACATGTACACAGACTTCTTACCTTGAATGGGAAATGTCAAAACTCTTTTCACGATGAAAGAAACATTTTTCTTAAAAGTCTTTTGGTTCAAGTCTTTTATTCTATTCCAATTAGACTACCATTTAAAAGAAGCTGAAAACAAGTTAAACAAAATAGCAATACTTCTGTTTGGCAAGAAAGTGTAGCTATTTATTTTTTCATCAGACTGGGATAACTTTCTAATTATTGATATAATGTTTCAGGCTTATTAAGCAACTGACTTAATGACTGTTTATCAGTTGTTTATAATGGTTTACTTAAGAATGTGTGAACGAGGTCCCAGGTGTAACAGTAATAATGTACATCCTTCACGATAATGAGATATTTTAAAGTGAAAACATGCATACCATAATGCATTCTGACTAAGACGTGGTTATACACACAATAGGCTGCAGGTAGTTTATATGAATACCAAAACAAACAAACAAACAAAAAAAAACACATTTACTTAAATGTGCAGTCTTCCTTTCACAAAGAAAAATCTACTACCATTGTTTTTGTATTATTATTATGTTTTTTATTTTCCCTAGAGGATTTTCAAAATTTTAAGAGCTGCATCTCCTCTTTGAATACTGGCTCTGAGAACAGCCCGAGGCTGAATATTTAAATACTTTATAGCCAAGAAAGGCTCGCTGAGGGTGCCAAAGCCCCAACAGATGTGCTAGATGTCCTAATTAGATCACAGTACTATCAAAGCATGTGCCAGCTATATGTGCAAAAGCAACCCTTTGTTTTGTTTCCGAACACTAGGAAGTAGTACCGCCATAAATGTTGAATCATTTGATCTCGTCAGACTCCATGGAAAAATTTTCCACCATCTAATTGCTTTAGACTAACCCACATAAGCAAAGATTTCTTAAAATGTGTTTTCTGGAGTATAGCATAGTGTTATACAAAAGTCATACTTCCCTCTAAATGAGACTGCAGGGTGCAGTATACCGACAGCCTTATAGTAAAATAAATGGCGTAAAACATTATCGTTGAATTATTTGTTTCAATAAATACAATATCAGGCACATAAACAAACTTCATGAAAGTAGGAAATAGAATATAAAACTATACTAGACCTTTTTTTTTTGACCATAGCTGTAATCAATGGCTTTCATGCACTGTATATGTCTGGAACCAATGCAATTCAGGACCATGGACAGCTCATTTTCTGCCTACTGAGCTAAAGCCTCTTTGCAAATGAAGCGTGATAAAAATATTACTACAAATATCTGTTTGGGGGACATTGTTCAAACCATAGAAAAGTTATAATAATACTATGAAATATGCATTTAAACTATTACACATGGTTTGATGAAAAGAATCAAAGTTGAAAACCCACAATCGCTTAGAAAATCATGAAAAAAAAAAAAAGACTAGTCTCATTTAGAATAATGCTGTAGCTTTCCTAAATCTCAACATAGGCCCTTACGGT